ATTGCCTCAGGGCAAAGGACATCATTAGGAAAGATCATAGATCATAGATCACAGATCATACAACTTCAGCGTTGGAAAGGGGCTCAGTGGTGATCACCGGTCCTAGTCCATTCCTTATCTGAAAAGCATCTCTATTACAGCACACTACAATTATCCTTCCCACATTGTAACTTTCTCCATTGTGGTTTCCATGTATCATGGATCAGCATAAGAAATTAAATGGGAATTTTGGGGGAGTTTTGCAGAAGCCACAGACTACATGGAAAGGTCAGCAGATGACATAGAAAAAGTTTAGAAATTCAGAAACGTATTACATATATATATAATATTATGTAAATTATATATTTTACGTATATACATACAAAGATATGTATACATATTGTTGTATAATATCCACATATTTTAGCTTTTTATACCATAATAATTTAGACTTCTTCTCTGGTACAAAGAGTGGGCCAAAATATTTCACCTGGATTTTCCAGATCATGGGGCACTAATCCCCCTCCCCTCCAGATGTGAAAGGGATAACTGCGAAGCATTCATCCAGTCTCTGTCTCTCCAGCTATTCAATTCAATTCAACAAGCCTTCATTAAACATCTATTATGTGAGGAGCATAGTGCTAGATGGCAGTAATACAAATGTGAAAAAAAAACCCCTGCCATTGTCTTCCCATTCTCTTCCATATCCACAATAGCTTACATTTTTAAAAATTCAATATTTAATTCAAGCATTTGCTATAGCCCTAGTAAATGGGAAGTACTCTGCTAGGACATTTAATACATGTTAACCAATTTAGGTAGACTCTTTATGTATAAACCCTGTGCAATTTACATCATTATATAATATAACAGCTCATATTTATATAGTGTCCCAAAATTTAGAAATCATTTCTGACTCAGTTCCATTCAACAATAATGCAAAAGTCCTCCCTAGCTACCTGTCATTTTGCTGGGCAATGAAAATAAAAGGGTACAAATGAGGCTATCCTTGTACTCCACTTGCTTCCCTCCAATGGCATCCAGTAATGTGTTATTGATGCCATTTAACAGATGACATCAAATGTTGGTAGATAGATGTCATACCCTACCTTAAATCTTCTCTTCTCCAGAATAAACGTCTCCTCTTCCCCTAGTTCTTTTAACTGTGCTTTCTATGAAATCATCTAGATTCCCTTCCCCATCCTAGTCATCCTCATCATCATGCTTTCTAGCTTATCAGTACCTTGACTAAAGTTCCAACCCCAGAACCAAGCACGATCCTCCAGATGTGGTTCAGAATACTATAAGGTTATTATCTCTCTGGACTTGGATGATGTTTCCTGATGGAGCTCCCCCTCAATATTCTCAGCTGCCTTATCACCCTGGTGACATATATACATACATACATACATACATACATACATATATATATATATATATATATATATATATATATATATATATATATATTTTTTTTTTTTTGCAGCAGTCAATCAAATCCCCAGGGGTGGGGAACCTGAGTCCTCAAGGCCACATGTGGCCCTCTAGGTCCTCAATGGGATACTTTGACTGAAGACCCTTAGAACAAGGAATGTCAAATGTTCTGTGAAGTTTGGATTCAGTCAAAGGGTTGAACTTGAGGACCTAGAGGGCCACATGTGTCCTTGAGGCCACAAGTTCCCCACTCCTGCCCCAGATAATTGTCAAACTGCCACGTTTTCTCCCATCTTGTACTTCTAAAAGTATTTTTTCTCCTCTAAGTTTAAGACTTTACATTTATTCCTATGTAATTTTGCCTTCTTAGATTTGGCCCAAATTTTGAGTATGTCAAGGTTTTTTTTCTTCTTCTTTACAAGTAAACCAAGAGAGTTTCCATCTGTAGTCTGACAAGCAAGAAGCTCTTGTGATCAATAGTTGATTAAAAAGTCTCTCTAATAACAAAGGTGGAAGTCTTTGGAGGCATGATTTTAGGGGTGTGATGGGTTAAGATGAAAAGGAAGATACTGAGGAGGAAAGAGCTACTCCCTGAACTTCAGGTTTACACTTATTGGGAGAATGATATATTTCAGACTCCTATCATTCCTTACATGTGCCATCTCTGCCTAGGTTTCATTGCACATTTGTGAAGTGGATAAAGTATTGTTCTAAATTTGGAGCCAGGTAGACCTGAGTTCAAATCTTGCCTCAGATGCTTACAAGTAGTATGACACAGGACAAAACACTTCAATTCTTTCTGCCTCAATTTCCCCATTTATAAAATGAGGATAATAATAGCATCTATCTCCTGGGATTCTTGTAAGGATCATATGTGATAATACTGCATGTCTGAAAAAATACTTTGTTCAGTTTTAAGGCTGAGATCCAAGCTGAACAATATCTGTTTGGATCCTCTGGATATGTTAACCACTTTGCAAACCTTCAAGTATTAAAAAATAATAGATGTCATCATTGCTATTGTCACATCAGCATCAGCATCTTCATCATCAACCCACCTGGGACAATCACTAGTTGTGTCACCCTGGGAGCACTTAATTTCTCTCAGCCTCAGTTTCCTCGTTTAAAAATGTGAGAGCTGGGCTTGAGGATCTCCAAGGTTCTTTTCAGCTCTGAATGTTTGCTCATAGGATCCCTGATCACAGAGTCACAGAATTACAGAAATAGAAGACACTTTGGTACTCCTACATGTCAATCCATACCCATAATCCTCATTACCTAATAAATGATTGAAAGACCTTTAAAAAGGGAAAATCCCTTGCCTTTCACAGCAGCCCCTTCCCAAATACTTTGGGATAGCTCTAATGCTTAATTTTGTTTCATTTTATTTTCCTAACTTCAAGCCTACATGTGCTTTTTTGCAGTTTCCATCCAGTGCTCCTGTTTCTTCCCTCTGGAAGCCAAACAGGACAACTCCAATCCCTCGTCTATGTACAAGTTATTCATATGCTTAGAGCACATGTGGCAAAAAGGGTAACTCATGGCCCTTGGAAGTTCTTTCAGTGTAAGAACTTTCTTCCTCCTTTCATGACCCTCCATCCCCGTTGTCCATTTCAGATATGATGGAGCTTTCTTTTTTTTAAAATTTTTATTTATTTATCTATTTATTTATTTATTTGTTTATTTGTTTGTTTTTATGACGGGGCTTTCTGCTGGCCTCCTCACAGAGTACTGAAGTTCTCAGGTTCTCTGCTTCTTGAAATTATTTTTTAAAATTACTTTTTTTAAAATTTTTAGGCAATTGGGGTTAAGTGAGTTACCCAGGGTCACACAGCTAGTAAGTGTCAAGTGTTTGGTCTGAGGCCAGATTTGAACTCAGGTCCTCCTGAATTCAGGGCTGGTGCTCTATCCATTGCACCACCTAACTGCCCCTCCTTGAAATTACTTTGTATATGCTTTGAATTTATTCACTTGGTTATCTCTCTCCAATATAGTAGAATGTAAGTTCCATATAGATGAAGACTGTTTCTTTTTTGTCTTTGTATACCCAGGAGGCCTTTCATGGTCCTGTAAATTGCTGGTATTTTCTCAGCCAAGGTTAATGTGTATCTGCCTCATAGTCAGCTTGTATGTACCTCTTTTTCCTTTTTCCCTCCCTCCCTCCTTCTCCCATTCTTTCTTTACATCTCTCTCTATGTGTATCTCTGTCTCTCTTTCTGTGTGTGTGTGTGTGTGTGTGTCTGTCTGTCTGTCTGTCTATCTTTCTGCCTTTTTCTCACTCTTCAAACTGGCACTGTGTTATTGATCTGTAGCATACAACACAACATTCCCTGTACTAAGATTGCCTTGCAGTTCCTTGGAGTGCAAAATATAGCTATGAGCTAACCTTTTTGCCATATGTGCTCTAAAATTGAATCTACTTTTCTTGGGACACTGTGTGTATGTGTACACACATGTATGTCTGTGTGTATGAACAGACAGACAGAGACAGATGTGATATACACGTGCTGTTATTGTTCAGCTATTTCCAATCATATCCGACTCTTCATGACCCCATTTGGGGTTTTCTTTATAGAGATACCGGAGTGGTTTTCCATTTCCTTCTCCAGCTCATTTTACAGATGAGGAAACTAAGGCAGAGTTAAGTGACTTGCCCAGGGTCACACATATAATAAGTGTCTGAAGCCAGATTTCAACTCAGGATGGTTAGTGTTCCTTACTCCAAATCTAGCACTTCACCTACTGTGCCATCTAGCTGCCTGCTGTGCATACATGTATATGTATATACATACTTCTTCATAGGAACATGTATGTGATGTGTGTATGTACATGTGCATGTGTGCCTGCATGTTGTGTGTGTGTGCATGTGTGTGTTGTGTCTTCTATTTGAACCTCAGCTCCTTGAGAGCTCACTTTTCCCCTCCCCCTCACTTTTCCCAGCATCTAGAGCATAACAACCGTTTTATAAATGCTCATTTATATGTTAATTGGATTGTTTCCCCAATACCACAGCCAGCCACTTGCACAGAATAGGACATTGCAAACATTTGTTGATTGGTGGGCACTTACCTGAGACCTGTTGCATTGAAGCTGCTTTTGAGTAAGAAGAGATTGGGCTAGAAATGAGGAATCTGCCTCCATATCCAGGCTTCTTCCTACTCTCCTCCTTATCTCATGGTAAAATAGGATGAAGATGAAGGGGATGAAGAAAAATCAGTAGTGGTGTGAACTGAAGGGTTGGGTTCTGGGAAAGGGAGAGTTAGTGAGGGTCGAAGACACTGAAGCCAAGACCTTTGCCAGGGGCTTCTGTGGGTCTTTGATCTCAGTATCATGCAGCTGGTGTCCAACAGTGTCTTAGAAAGGGGAACACTTAGGTGGCTGTCATCTTCTCTAATTTGCAATGTGACACATTACTACAGAGAAATTTGAAGACTGGTCATGAGTTACACCTAATTATTTTGTTTTTTAACCAAGTACCAGTAATGTATTTGTTTCACTTTTAAAAATTTGCCTTCATTTTTTGCTCATTAATTTCATGGATATCCCTCCATCTCCCCTTTTCCCCCCTTTTCTTTCTTTTTTTACAGGTCTGGCTGTCCATCAGATAATAACCATCACTGTCTCCCTCATCATGGTTATAGCTGCTCTGATTACAACTCTTGTCTTAAAAAATTGGTAAGGACCCTTCTGGCTTGGGGAAAGCAGGGTAGGGTGGCTATCTTTGGAAGCCCCTGGGCCTTGGGGAAAATGTATGCTAAGCAGTTGTTTGAAGAGTGCTGGATTTGAGGTAAGGAAGACCTGAATTCAAATCCCTCTTCTGACACTTAATAACTGGGTGACCTTGGGCAATCCACTTTACTTCTCCAAGTCTCAATTTCCTCCTTTGTAAAATGAGGGCAGTGGACTGGATGTCCTCCAAGGTCCCTTCCAGCTCCAGACCTATGAGAACACAATTCATTCCACTGTTTGTCAAGGCACGTAGGAAAAAAAGGAAAAGAAAAGTGTCATTACTGCTACTACCATTATTATTTTCAATTTCCAAATCCGAGTGTTCTTTCTAGCTGATTCCCCAGCATCTAAACTTGTTGGCCTTCTCTGCTGAGACTCCTTGGGCTAGTTATTATTTTGAAGCTACTCCTGCTATTTAGGGCAAATCAATCTGCCCCATGGCTCCCTCAGCAGGAGCTGTACTGAGCAGCAACCGTATTCAAATGGCTTCTCAGATGCCTTGCTGCTTGTGTTCCCAAACCCTCCTGTCTGATCCAAAAGCAACTTGTAAAAACAAGAACCAGGCCAGCCTGCCAGTTCAGTGGTTATTATTTCCTTTTTTACCTTCTCCAAACCTTTAGTGAATGTTCCCATGCTCCCAGTGAGATTCCCCTAACATATGACTCTCCCTCTGTTCTGTCCCCCTCTCCCCTCCATTCTGTCTATCTACCCTTCCCCAACACATGGGTTCTTGAATGATTACATCCACTTTGCTTGTTTAATTTACTCCCTGGTTTTTCCTTCGACATCAGCTCTGCAAATAGTGAAATAGGTTAGCTCTTAGCTTCAGGCATCCCTGCTTTTGCCTGTTTCCTTATGGAAATTGGCCTACTTTGAGGTCAGATTTGCTGGGTGTTATGTATCTGCCATCACCACTTCCCCACCTGTATCACTGGGGAAATTGGGCAAAGCACTGGTTCACCTCACTCTTCACAAAAGCACTTTGGAAGCCCCTCTAATATCTCCCCCACCCCCAATTTGCAGGTAGTTATTCTTCTAGAAAATGTGTTCCCATTATCCCTTCAAAGCTCAGTTCTCTTGTAGTGTAATGTACCTAAATGAGCCCCTTGCTATCTCCAGAAAATAACCTAAAAGAAATTCTGGATGGTGAGCGTAAAGGGCATACAACCCCCTGAATAAGAGGAGTAGGAAGGGATCTAGTTAATTATTCAGTTGATGATGGGATTAGAAAGGCAGCACCAAATATCCAGGGTATCACATAGCCACAGAGCATAGAAGAATGAGGGAAGGGAACTTCCTTGATACCTGTAAAAAATCCCTGTGCCCATAGAGCATTGCCTGTAAACAAATGAAAGGCAGCCAGGCAAAGATGTATAATGGTGCTTGCTAGGTAGAGGTCAGCCAGATTGGCAAGTTAGGAATGATTTGAGTCCACCTTGGTCTACAGATCTGTGGAGGGAGCTTTCTGATATGTGAACAAAAAGTAGCATCCATTGCTCTGTATCCAAAGTAATGTTCTGTTACCAAAAGAGGTTTCCAATGGGACTCAGGTGAAGCCCAAATGGAGATGAGAAGTGCAATTCCATAAAAGGGTTTGCTTGTCACCTTTGAGTTTCTTTGGGAAGCCTCTGCAGATCAATGGGTTAATGTCCCCAGGATTGGAAATGGGGAGACAAGCAAGCTAGGGAACTCCAGAATGGATGGAAAATCCATCTACTCTTTCCTGATGGATAAGTGAGTTAGAATTCATACACACACACACACACTCTCTCTCTCTCTCTCTCTCTCTCTCTCTCTCTCTCTCTCTAATACCAACGCACTTTATGAGGATTTTCATATTATTAAATTTGTTTTTTCAAAAATCACTTTTAGGATAGGGAAAGTAATAAAGATCTGTCCTGCCCCAGGAGTCACGGCCACTCCCTTCCACCACCTCCACCACAGTCACCTGAAGAAATAAAAGCATTGAATAGTTACGACATGCAAGGAGAAGGAAGAGTGGCCATATGTTACCCTTCCTGCTGCCAACTTCATCATTCTCCAGAGATCTAAAACCCAGACTACAGAATAGCAGCATATTATCTGAGGGGGCAGGAAAAATGGCCCAATGGAAAGAGTGATCTTTCAGGACCTGCAATCGGAGGACCTGGGTTTGGCTTCTGGCTCTGCTGTATACATTTTTGTCTTGGATGGTCAATTTCTCCCTCTAGTCTTCAGTTCTTCATGTATAAAATGAGGGGCTGTAACTCTAAGCCTACGATCTAGGAGTGTAATATTGAAGAGCATGTCCTACTAAGTGTTCCATTTGAACAATTACCTTCTCAGGCAGTTTCCTCCCTAGTCTTTTGTCTTCCTTTTCCCACTGCTGTGGGCTGCTCAGAGGAGACCGTCATGGATGGAGTACAGAAATCTAAAAAATGGCAGATATCATTGATATTTTCCTACTGGCAGGCTAATGAAACTTGCTCTCTCTCTGCCTGGCTCCAATATTACATACCATGAAGGAGACTGCATCACAAATTGTCTACTTCATTCTAAAGACTACGGAAACTTTTGAATTTTTTCTTATCCCTTCTTGCTGCAAGATGCTGAAGAAAGAAAAGATTACCAGTTGCCACCTTATAAGTACAGATTGAGTTCTTTCTCAAAATCGTAAGGGTAGGATAAGAAGTCAGATATGTCATATAGCTATATCATACAGCTTATCTACATATGTTATATTGTTAGAATGGAATCTAGCTTCCAACTTGGGGGCTCTGGACTAAAAATAAAGAAATCTGAAGTTATAAAACATCCCCCATATGCATATATGTCTGCAAAAACATCCATATATATTTGTGCATATGTATTCATGTATGTGTATATGTACATTTATTCATCATGCACATATACTCATATACACATATAAATCTGTATATCCCTACACATACATGCATACATGCTTGTGCATGTACGATATGCATAAACATACACATATATGTATGTATATGTGTGTATAAAAATATATACACGTGACTGGCAGTACTTCTTCTAGCACATTGGGCCTTGATGGTCATGCTCATACTCTAGGCACCAGTCTTCCTGTCCTATCTGTTTATGCAGACATATATGCATATATGTATATAGATACGTGTGCACGTATATATGCACACAAATACACAAATACATTGCTAAGTGTGTATATATGTGTATTTTTTGTATGTGTGTGTGTATATATATATATATATATATATATATATATATATAATATAATATATATATATATATATATTATATTATATATAATATATATATTCATAATTTGGGGCTTCCAAAATGAATTACTGAACCCCTCTCATGCTATCTCCAATGTTTCTCAACTATCACAGACTAATTTGGTAGCTAGTTACCTATCCCAATTATTTGTCCCACCGAGGCCTCAGGAAGGGAAAGCATGTTAACGCCATTGTTCTTACGGACACACTTTGAGCAAACACAACTCCAGCTTCTTGATAACATGGCTAAAGCACTCATCTCAATAATTCTCCCTGCCATAATGGCTCACATTTAAATTTCAAATTCGATAGAAAAAAATAAAGGGAGCTGATTGCTTAATTGTCATTGAGCCTTCTGAAGAGCTTGGGAATTATAATTTAATATTAAATGATGTATAATTAATGCTTTGCAATGAAGGCCCTGCGTTCAAATGGTGATGGTGTCTTTGTATATTTTGTTACCCCCTCATTCCCTGTCCTCCCAAACCCACAATCCTATTCCCCACATGCCCAACTTCGCATCGTTCTCCCTTAGCTGTGCACAAAGTGGAAACACTCGGAGAAACAGTCACCAACGGAAAATCAATCAGCAAGAAGAAAGTTGCCAAAATCTGACGGATTTCACTCCTGCCCGTGTGCCCAGCAACTTGGATATATTTACCGCCTATAATGAAACCCTGCAGTGCTCACATGAGTGTGTTAGGACCTCTGTGCCCGTGTATACTGATGAGACTTTGCACCCAACTGGGGAGTATAAAAACCACCTTTAATGGAAACAGGTAAGTTTAGCCTTGGAGCAAGTGCAGTTGAGTCTTGCGATACTCGTGGCAGATCCCATGCCATGTGGATGAAGATCTGCTTGTGTTCCCAAAATGTGACTCCTATGTTCAGGTTTTATAGAAAGGCTAATTAGGCAAATAGCTACTGCCATGCTCTGCACATAAAGCTAACTATAAGAAGCATAGTTAGGTCTTTTTTTTTTTTATCAATACCCTCTTCTCTCCTAAAGACTTTTAACCAGCCAAATTTTATTCCGGATTCAAAGGGTTAGAAGGAATCCTATGAATAATAGTAGCAATGATAGTATTGGCAATTTACATTAATATAGCACTTCCTGGTTTGCAAAGGCGAAACACAATGGCACTCTCCTGGTATGGGGCTTTACAGTGTATGCTGTTGCCATCCCCAAGAGTTCAAATGGCAGCCTTGGATTTATTGGTCTTTTAGCTATAAACAGATTATTATTGTCCACTCCCTGAACCAGGAGCTGTGGGTCTCTATCAATGAAATATCATCAGCAGCTAAAGTTAAAATGTCAAGTACCAACCAGTCTGCCTTCCTATATCTATTTTGATTAAATGCTGCTACAATTTATTATTGAGTTCTCCTACTTATGCTTTCAAAAATTATGCCATCTAACCACCTCAAAAATATTCACTGGTATTTTCTCATTATAGATCTGAATTTGGCACCCAAAGATTTATCCAGAATCAAATTAAAATAATTATTATAGGCAAATAGCCTGAAGTAGTCTGTTTAGTTATCCTAGAAGATAGGGGGCACAGTAGATAGAATGTTGGACTAGGAGTTAGGAAGACCTGGGTTCAAAATTGGCCTCTGATACTTAGTAGATATGTAAGCCTGAGAAAGTCAGTTCATCTCTCCTAGTATCTATTCCCTCATCTGTAAAATAAGGGCATTGGAATCAATAGCATCTACAAGCCCTTCTAGGTTTAAATATATGATCCTTTGATCCCATGAGTCTGTGTTACCAAACTGAGAGTATGTTAATAGTCAATCAAAAGAGATGCTGACTTAGAGGCCAGGAGGACTGGTGCTTAAGGTATGAGCATGACCAGAGAAGTCCAATGGCTATAGCATAAAACAGGAAATGCTCCTATTGCTAGCCTTTTGGAAATGGTCAATGGTGGGATGTATAGGTTGAAATCATGTTGTTTGTCCATTCGAAGGCAAATTATCCCAGGATGCTTTTAGGACTAACTGCTTGAGAATTTCACCAACATTGTCCCATAGTTTAATGTGTTTTCTTGTCTAATCAACCCAAATGAGCATTTTATTTTCCTTCCCTTTTTTCTCTTTAGTGGCTTCGTGCCACATGCATTCTTTCTCCTGTTTCTCTCCATGTTGGAGTCTCCATTATGTTCATTACATAAAACCCTTCTTCTCAGAATAGGTATCCGAGGAGCAGCAGCCCCCAATCAATTGTTTTGCTCAACACCTTTTGAAATCCCCTTCAGAAATCCTGGGAGCTTGAATTCTCCAGGCTTGCAGAGGGCTGAGTAGATAAAAGAATTGAAAGAAAAAAAGGATTTTCAAACCATTTCATCGAGTGTTTTTATTTTGTTTTTTATTTGTGTGTGTGTGTATGTGAGTGTGTGTTGATTCAGACATGTACTACAGGCAACCAATGCTGGGGTCTCATGGGGTGTGGAAGCGAGGTGTAGATCTTTTGGGTTCTGTTCTGTCCCACTATCATTCTCACATCTGTGTTTTATCAGGCACATCATTGCTATCTCTAGTCTGCTTTGTCTGGAATCTCCTATAGGGGAGGGGAAAAAAAAACACATTGGTTGGAACAGGGTTCACTGCTTTTTTTTTTTTCCCCTAAGGTATTGCTTTGTTGGACTCTGCACAACCTACCCCCTATTGGCCTGGGGAAAATATCAATGAAAAGTGACATGCCATAGCAATGCTTGCCAACTGGCATACATTTGAAACTCCTTCTATGTCCCAGACTTCCGGGTTGTTGGCCTTTCCTTAAGGCACAAATTGAGAGAGAACATAGATTCTAAGAGAAGAAATACTTGGGAAGATGACATCACTCTGGTGGAACCCACCCTTCTGGCCCACTACATAGTATCCTAAATGTCACAAGGCTCTTAGGCCTGTTATCCTTTCATGTTTTTCAACTGGGATTTGGAGGGGAAATAACTAACTGGTCAGAACAACCCTCTGGTTGGGGAATAAGACATATATTTTCGCAAAAGAAAAGCCAAGAGCCAATCCAAAGCATTACGTTAGATGGAATTTTCATTTTCTTTCTTTCTAAAGAAGCTAGTTTTGCTTTTCTTGAAGCAGGCCTGACCTGGCTTGCCTATTGTGTGTTATGTACCAGCACGCGCAAGCCTATTTTTCTGCTCGCTGCAGACCTTCTTCTTCTGATCGACATCTAATTCCTGTGGCCTTTGTGTCTGAGAAATGGTTTGAAATCTCCTGCTGACTGGCCGAAGTCTCTTTTACTTCCTGGGGGCAGGGCAGACGCCATGTGTCTATTTCCTGGTACGTACACTCTTAAGACATTATTATGGTCCCTCTTCCCTCCTCCCAAACCTCTTACTTTCTATCACTTTAAGAAGTTCTCTACCCATGGAGAACCTATAACCATATTAGCCACTACATGAAAACTAGGTGACTGATCATTTTGTTTCTTTCTCTGTTAAACCCAATATAGATTCCCCAATAGGGCAGAATAGCAAATGGACATGTACCAATTTTTCATATCTGTTATTGTTATTATTATCAATGCTGTGTTGGTCCCCAGGGAAGACAGATTCTTGGATGGTATGCATGGCAGGGGAAAATTTCTTCTTGAAACAAGTTACAGTTACAGTTCTCATTTCCCTTAACAGAAGAAGATCAAACCAGCAACTAAGTGTACATGAATCTCTCCTCTATCACATGTCTTTACACCAGGAGGAAGGGGGGGGACCTAAATTAAAATACAATTTTGAAATATAAAAATAAGAGATAAGGAAGAAAATGATGAAGAAAGAAAGTGAAGAGTTAAGACATATCTACTAATTTGAAGACAGGGACTGGTACCACGACAGGATGAATTTTCCGTGCTCTGCTGGATAAGAACATTTGGTTTGCTTTCAATGAGATTAATTTTAATGCTAACGGTAAATTGCTTTCTTCTGTGCTGAATCTTCTGAACATTTGGACTGTGTGGCATAAACGGCATTTTACCTCTCTGCCTGCACGTTATAGGCATAGTCTAGAGACACAATCCAAGGTTTTCGAATGATTTGCATTTAGTGCATTTAGGGAAGCAGACACTCTGCCTATAGGAAATCCTTTCCACAGTCACGTCGCAACATTAACAATAACAGTGTACAAATAATCAGAGACTTCTGCTTTTTGACTTCATTTTCAAGGAAGAGAGGGAAGAGCGCAGGTAGGTGTTTTCGAACAAGAGTGATTCAGGCAAGGGGAAGGCGTTTGCCAAGAAAGCAGTTTGTGAATGTAACAAGAACTAAGCAAGTGGCATGTGTTACAGGCTAGTATCCAGACCCACCCACAGCTTTCAGGAATGGGAATGAATAGGTCAGTCCCTAATCCCAATTCTAATGAATCGTATATTCACTCCAAATCAAATTTCCAACCCTCCTTCCTTGTCCTGGAGCCAGAATGGCCTGCTTAGCACGATGTTCCTCCAACAGACAAAGAAATGTGATTAGATTAGAATGGAAAGTGAATAAATTACAATGGATTTTGCTGGGTTATGTGTGTGGGCAGAGCAGGTAAGATGAGTTCTTTTCCATAATAGTGTAATAGGGTCAGCTCTCTTGGACACTGGATGTTCCTCAGTCCTGTGTCACTCTCTCTCCCCTTTGTCAGACCACCTTAATTAATGCTATTGAGGCCACAGAAGACGCTGCCTTTGTAGTTCCATCTCAGCTAGCAATCGAGACTTTACTTACTAATGAAAAAAGCTTCTGTTTTGTTTGTTGTGGGGAACACTGTGGACCAATTGAGCCAGACAGTTTTCAGCATCTCTATCATGCTAAAAAACAACAACAACAACAACAAAAACATGAAAGCAAGAATACAGTAGATTGGATGTGATAAAGTTGCTAGAGGGCTACTCCATGGTGAAGTGGATAGAGACCTAGTCTTGTAATCAGAAAGACTCATCTTCTTGGGTTCAAATCCAGCCTCAGACACTTAGTAGCTGTGTGACTCTGGGCAAGTCACTTAACCCTCTTTGCTTCAGTTTCTTCATCTTTAAAATGAGCTGGAGAAGGAAATGGCAAACCACTCCATTATCTCTGCCAAGAATACCCCAAAAGTGGGAGTCCCACGTGAAGGAACAACAGCAAAATTGCTAGTCTGGCCCTACATAAAAGACCAGATGTTCTGGTAGTAGGAACTCCTGGAAAGTGCTACTGGGCTCTTTAATGAAAAATTCCCCAAAGGAAAGTAGGGACATCCCTTATTGTAGTCTTAGCAGAGCCCTAACTAGGGTGGGATAATTAGAGCTCTGGTCCAAGGCCAGAACACATAAAACACCAACTAAGATCATGTTTACCCCACCTGCTTCTCCCTTGTTGTCCTACATCAGAAGAGCTTTTCTGATCCACTGGAAATTTACAGGGCACAAGCAATACCTTCCCCTGCTTCCTTCATGACCATCAGTTCTGCCCCTGCTCAGCCCTGCACAATATAGTTGAAAGGGTCCTCATTCTGGTCACACTCAATCCCTTCCACCACAGGCATCCCAGGTAAACCTCCTTCTTTTCCTCTGCCCCCCAGAATGCTTATAATTTTTACTTATGACCACAGGCACTAGATTCTCTTTCAGAACTTGTGGAACTGGATGCAGCACTCAATCTCCCCAAGCTAATTCTCTTAGATTTCTTATCCCCAAAGAGGTGCTGATCAATTTCAGCACAACTATAGGAAAGGGGACTTCTCCTGGGTCCTCACATTTTTCTATCACTTTTTGATTTGTACAAAGCACTTTCCTCATCAAATAGAACTATGGAAAAGCTCATACCAGCATTATTATATCTATTATTCAGATATTCATGAATGTCTTCTATGCCGTATTATTTCACTAGGAGGAGAAGGGTGGAAGCAAAATTAAAATACAATATTGAAATATGAAAATAAGAGATAAGGATGAACATGATAATAAAAAATGAAGAGGATATCTATGGACACATTTAAAATTAAGACTAAGCTGAGAAATGATTGACATACTAATGTAGTAGACAGATAGTGAGATTAGAGTCAGATGATCTAGATTCAAAACCTGCCTCTGCCACTTAGAGCATGACCTAGTTGGGCAAGTCATTCTGTTCCTCAGTTTCCTCACCTGTGAAATGAGGGGTTAGATGATTTCCAATGTCCCTTCTAGCTCTGAAGCTTTGATCCTAGTAGCTCGGAGAGGTCAATTTACTCACACATGGACTAGGAAGTATCAGAGCTGGGACTTTTCTCCTGACCCAGACAAGATCAGAGGACCTGATCTCAAATTCTCACTCCGGCCCTTACAAACGTCAAGCGTCATTTTAATCACTTTGGGACTTGGTAAGTCTAAAGTTAGAGAGTTGTACCAGATAACCTGCAAGTTCTCTTCCAGCTCAGGGTATCTGAATCTGATCAAAGATGAGTATCTTTTCTGTCTGCTCAGAAAATGGAGTGGAGGAAAAGGGGGGCATCATCTTTATTGAAATCAAAACCGTTTTAATCAATTAACACATCAACAAATGTTCATTCAGTGTTAAGGATTAGGGATATAAGGAAAAATAATCTAAGTTCCCAGAAGAAAGAAGTTTACATTCACGTGTGTGTGTGTGTGTGTGTGTGTGTGTGTGTGCACAGCATTATGCATGTGTTATGCAACGTGAGTGGATACAAGGCAGTTATGGAAGGGAAGGTAATACTAGTGATAACAGTATTTAAATTACATTTTCAGGTTTGCAAAGCACTTGACAAATATTTCATTTTATCCTCACAACAACCAAGGGAGGTCAGTGCTATTGTTTCCATTTTAAAGATGAGGGAACTGAGGCAGAGAGAGGTCAAGTGGTTTCCCCAGTATCTTACAGTTAATAAGAGTATGAGGCAGGATTCAAGCCTAGGTCTTCATGATTCCAGACGCAGAGCTCTATCCAAAACACTAACAGAGAGATCAGGAAGCTCTTCATGCACAAGTTGGCCCTTGAACTGAGTCTTGAAGGAAATCCAGGGTTCCAAGGGGTGGAGGTAAAGAAGCAGATAACTCATAGTCCTTCTGGTTCACCTCTCACCCCCGCTCCTTTGATTCCAAATCTAAAGCTCTTTCAACCATGTGCCTCCTTCTTCTCCTTTGGTTACTCTCCAGTTAATTCATGCCCTGGCTAAAATGGGATACACAAAACTAATCTCCCAGGCATAGTCTGCTCATCTGGCCCCAAAGAGGATATGCCTCAATCTTCTATAGCTATGAGAGAAAAGGGACAAAGCTTCCTGTTCTGTCCCCTCTAAGCCACCCCACCCCCTTTTTTTTCCCTCCTAGGGAGCTGGAAAATAAATTCTTCATAACATCATCAAGGAACATGATACCATGGAAAGAGTACTTAACTGGTAGTCAGAAGACCTAAGTTCAAATCCTAGATCCAACTTATTTAAGTTTTCTGAGCCTCAGTTTCCTCATCTCTAAAAGGAAAGAGTTGTACTAAATCAGAGATATCAAACTTGAACTTCAAAGCTTTCAAATCCTGAGTCAGATTAAAATGAAATGGGGAAATGTTTACCAAAGGGTGTACAAATATAGTAAAGATAATGCTAATTTGTGGTTTTCTAACTCAATATGTCTGGAGACAAGGATCCATTTCCATTTGAATTTGATAGCACTGGACCAAATGGCCACCCAAATCACTTCCAATTCTAGATTCATGAGACCATGAACTTTTGTACTCCAAACCTGATTTCTAATGATATCTCTGGCAAAGTCCTTCTTGGTTGACTCATGGGTGACAACACACCTTGTAGGTTATCCTGGGTTTTCTTTCTTTTTTTTTAATATAAATTTGTTTATTTTTAGTTTTCAACATTCACTTCCACAAGTTTTTGAGTTCCAAATTTTTGTCCCATCTCACCCCTCCCTCCACCCGAAGACGGTATGCATTCTGAATATCCCTTCCCCCTAGTCTGTCTTCTCCTCTATCTCTCCCCCTTTCTCTTATCCTCTTCCCCTTCCATTTTCCTGTAGGGCAGGATAGACTTCTATACCCCATCTTCTGTATTTCTTATTTCCCAGTAGCATATGAAAACATTTTTTTAAACATATGTTTTTAAAAATTTAGGTTTCAAATTTTCTCCCTTCCTCCCCCCCCCATCCACCATCATTGAAAAGGCAAACAACTTATTATAGGTTATACATGTGCAGTTGTGCAAAACACTTCCACAGTAGATATGTGGTGAAAAACTAACTCGATTTCCCTTAATCCTATCCTGCCCCCCCATTTATTCTATTCTTTCTTTTGATCCTGTCCCTCCTCAGAAGTATT